GTGTGTGTGTGTGTGTGTGTGTGTGTGTGTGTGTGTGTGTGTGTGTGACAGAGAGAGAGAGAGAAATATTCTGACTCCAAAATGTCATTGGAAAGTCTGGTCTAATTTCAGTTCCAAGGGTCAATGCTGGGGCAGTAGTTCAAAGATAAGCTTTTTGATTCTGAGCCATCCAACATCATCTTCTGGTCCAGAATGGGATGTGACAGGGTTGGGTATCTTCTTTCAGAGATGCAACGGAAGAGATAGAAATAGGCTGTCTTTGTAATGGCACAAATATACAATTGGGTTCATAGCTCAATTCAGACTCAAATATGAAACAATTCTTGCAAACACTCTGGTGATCACTCACAGACAGGAACTTGATTGCTGATTTCATGAGTATTGTAAGTTGTTTTGGCTGCAGAGATGGGGGTCTTAAATTAGAAACTCCAGTTTATTTTTACATCTCTAATTCTTAAAATTTCAGCTGTTGTAAAATGTTGTAAACATACCTTTAAGTGGTCTTTTATCTTCAACTGCTGTCACTCATCATATCAACATAATGTGATGTATTAGTTCCAGGACTTGGTCATGTTATTTCCACAGTGCTGAACCTTCTTAACCATACATGGATGAAACAGAAGTTAGTTAAGGAGTCAATACAGCTTTGTACATTATCTGCTGATGATCTACTCAAGACCCCTAACTCATAGCCATGAAGGTGACACCGCTGACCTAAAAAAACGTACAAAATCTGTATTTGTGCTCACTGTAAGTAATGAAACTCCTTTGATCAAAACAGCAAAGCAGAAATTAAATTGCAGCAAGTTTCCTCTGAAGATCTTCGAAGGAGTCTTAAAGAGAAGATACAGTCTATGAATCATGAACTACTGGCTAACCAATCAACCATGTCCACAGAGGAATTCCAGATTGTTAAATTCGGATTTGGAATTTTAGACTCCATTGTAGCATAATACTGCCTACCTGTACCTAACACCTAGGTAGATTTAAGTCAATAGTGACCTCAGCTGGAACTGCAAATAGATTATTATTCTTCAATGAATTCAGCTTTAAATAATTTTTTTCGGGGCTTTATCCCAACACTCTGGAACTAACATTTCATTCCAAAGTAATGTAATTCACTAAATCTATCATTCCCTTATCAGGAGCACTTTTCTGTACAGCAATCTCATTCTACAGGCTTCGCAGCATTAACACTACCAGGAGTTAAAACTGAAACTAAAAGCCTCTCAGTTATGCATGTTTCCCTTTAATTTAGGGAAAAATAACTTCCAAGACTCTCTAACAAACTCTTGAGGGGCCATTATTTACCATGCTGGGTTGCAAAGCATCTCAAATAAATAAAAGTCCATTCATTTACAAAACCTATTCACTCTAAAATAAAAGCAGAAAGAGCCGGAGAAATTCAGCAGGTCTGGCAGTATCTGTGAAGAGACATAATGTTTTGAGTTGAATATGACTTCTTCAGGACGGAAGGAGCTATTTTTTCATGCTGTAGACAGAGGGAGAGAAGGAGCTGGTGGAACAGAAAGTGACAGTATCCAGAGCAAAAGACAACAGTGATGATGGTGGTAAAGAAGATATAGACGTGTAAAATCCATGTAAATGCTAGCATGAAAAGGAGAAACTGGGCCCACTCTGCTGAGAAAAAAGCCAACAAGGAACAAACCAGTCAGATAAAAGAACTGCAGATACTGAAGATCTGAATCAAACAAAAACAGAAATTGCTGGAGAAACTCAGCAGGCCTGACAGCATCTGTGAATTGAAAACAGAATTAATGTTTCAAATCCAGTAACCTTCTTCAGAACAACAAGACACAGATAGGCAGGATGGTGTATGTAAAAAAAAGTATAGAGCTTAGACTCTGAAGTTTTGAAACTCAGTATTGAGTCTAGAGGCTGTGAAGTGCCTAAGTGGAAAATGAGGTGTTGTTCCTCCAGCTTGTGTTGAACCTCATTTGAACGTTATAGGAAGCCAAAAAGGAAAAGCTAGCATGATAATGTGGTTCATTGAACTGGAAAGCAACTGGAAGGTCAACATCATTCCAACAGCTAGAGCAGAAGTATTCTGCAAAGTGCTTACCCAGTCTGGTTTGTTCTCACCATCCTTCACTGTTGCTGAGTCAAAAGCTGGAACTCCCTTCCTATTAGCACTGTAGGTGTACCCCTAGATCTGCAGCAGTTCAAGAAGACAGTACTTTTGCAAAGGCCATAATGGATGGACAATACATGTTGGATTAGCCAGCAAAACCCACATCACATTATGGATTTAAAAAAAAGACTCTTGGACAGCATCAATACATTAGCAATTTTTAAAAAAGAAACTGGATTGCTTCTGCATCATATTGTTTCGATGTAGTAATGTTTATTCTCTCCTCAAAGTCAGAAGAATTATTACTTGATTTTTTTGTCTTATTTATAAGATAATACAAGCAAGATAGATCTATTCCTTGCTTTCACATTGGGTGGCCAAGTATAGTTATGTTGCCTTTAACAAACTACTCCAAGAATCTCTCTCTGTTCTTTGCTCACCTATAACAA